TGGGCAGTGGGAGGCCTGTGGGGCAGTGGGAGCCTGTGGGGCAGTGGGAGCCCAGTGGGGCAGGAGCCCGTGGGCAGTGGGAGCCCGTGGGCAGTGGGAGCCCTGTGGGGCAGTGGGAGGCCTGTGGGGCAGTGGGAGCCCGTGGGCAGTGGGAGGCCCGTGGGGCAGTTCTCCATCCTGCAGGGTCCCTACGAGTCATCAAAGCTGGACAGCAGCATCTGACTTGGGATGTTTGAAGAGAGGAAATGACTTTCACTGTTTACCACCTCTTCTCGGGGAGGCTCCTGAGATTACTCTCAAGAGGCTTAGACTATGAAAATTCAAAATAAAGGTCAACTGCTTAGCCCATCACTAACATTTAACCACCCACTCCAGGCTTGCGCTATCTGGAAGGCCAGCCCAGAAGACAGCCAGGAAGTCAAACCCATTTATCCTGTGGGTTTGGTGACGATTAGAGAGTAAATGAGCCTTTTCATGGTCAGCAGTGATACACAGTGTGCTCTGGGGCTGGACACGGTCCCCTCAACATAACATACTCTGCCTACTTCCCTCCAGCTTCTGGCCATCATCTGGGGCAACGCTGCCTTTTGGGTCCTGTGTGCATCGCTCCCCGGGCTCACTGCTCAGTTTACAGGCCCATCTACTGTTTGATCCCTGAGGGCTCAGTTCTAGGCTTGAGGGGTGTCAGGGTCATGCTCTTGAGGTTCCCCTGGGCTCTATCAGACCAGGAAGTCGGCTCTACTCATGACTGAACTGTGTTCTACACGGAAAAGACACTTCTCCTACCTAATCAATCAACCAATCAATCTAAGCACCCCACAAAGAAGCAGAGAACCCACAGGACATGATCAAATTTAAAGTAACTGCTGTCAATATTGTCTTGGAAACTCCGTGTGTCCACTTCAGACAACCGTGTCCTCTGCTAAGGATGTGTGTGGACGGCCGGGGGTCAGGTGCCCCACAGAGCCCTGGCCAGGAGACACGGTGGTTCCCAAATCACATCCAGGTGCTTGGCTGGCACTTAGCACCGCCCTCTCCTTGCCTCACCTGCCCCCAATTATGTACATTACCTGCATGAATCCTAAATTCTCAGCAGGCTGAGACACAGTAGTCGGCAGCCCACTTCATAAAATATCTCTTGAATTATGTAGAATAATGACTAAACTCCGGAGCAGAGCTCAGCATTCCCTCACACGAGAAGGGCTAACAGGGCTTTACCCCCTCAGGTGCCTTAACTTACCCTTTCTTCACATACTGATAGGCGACGTCCCGCAGGCCCGGCCTGAACACGGATATTCTGTGCCACGTTGTCTTTTGACTGACATCGCCTAAGTCTCAAGAGAAGAGAAGACGTGGTTTTAAATGCTGGCAGACAGTGTAAATGATGCCAGTTTTTAAGAGAACGAGAGAGTATGGCCCCGTCCCAGGTCCTCACAGTCCGAGCACAGCCCTGTCTGTCCCTGGTCTTCACAGTCGGAGCACAGCCCCATCACAGGTGCACACAGCTGGAGCACAGCCCCATCCTGGGTCCTCACTTTAAGAGCACAGCCCACTCCTAGGCACTCACTGACAGACCAGTCCCGTGCTAGGTCCCGTCAGGGTACAGCCTCATCCTAGCCTCATGCACACAGCACAGCTCGCCTCAGGTACTCACCCATTTGGTACACTTCACTCTCCCCAGACCGCCACATCTCGTTGGTTGCGAGGGAAAATATGGTGACTGGGTTTTTCCCTTCCACTTGTCTCATGACGGGGTCCTGGCCCACGCGGCCGAGTAACTGCACACGGTTGAGAGCTGAAACACACGGTGGACATGGAGTGAGGACATACGCAGCAGAGGGGGCTGTGAGGCAGCCCTGTGGAGAAGAGCTACACGCCCGTCAACAGCCGTCTCTGCAGCCAGCCAGACCCAGGTGCTGGACGATCCAGAAAGACGGCCACACAGGGAAGAGAGCCAGCTGGGACGGAAGAAGGGCCGTGCAAGAACGGGTACATCACACAGAGAATGCAGCTCTGCGGAACAAACGGGAAGCTCTGTACTTCTCCTTAAACTGCTATTTAAAGTCGTTTTCCTTTAATCTGTGTCTGTGGTTAAAAGAGCAAAACCACAGAGCCTCTGTCTGGAGAAAGCATCTCCCACAGACTCTTAACTCTCAGCCTCACAGCTCGTGAACTTGGGAGCCTTGGAGAGCAGTAAAGGAGGGGAGGGTGAGGAAGGGGCTGAGGTGAGCAAAGGGGACTGAAGGCGGGAGGTGAGGGTGGGAAAGGGCCAGTTCCTCTGAGTTACTCTCTGGGGAGCCTGTGGGGCGAGACAGGTGCTGGGGGCGAAGATGAGCTGGGAGTGTCTGTCCTGCTGTTAAACTGGAAAACATCAGCATATTAATACAAGTAACGCTGTTTAAACCTGAAATGAGCTACTTACATCTTTCAAGAACCAAGTTGCTGGCTATTTCCGACTCGTGTCGCACACATGCGTGCTGCACACACTGATGAAGCACCTGGAAGGGAACAGAGACGCGGCATGGCTGTGACTTTGCAGGGACGCAGATGCAGGAGATGCCCGTCACACACAGCAGGCTGCAGCTCACACTCGCAGGCCCACAGATCCTCCGCCTCTCACACAACAGCGCCAGAAGGGCCCAATGGTCACCCGCCCGCTCCAGTGGACCGCGGAACCCCGACACTGCGGCTCTTACCACCCTCTGAACCCGAACCCATCCTGTGGGTCAACGTACAGCCAAAGCACAGACAAGGTGGGCAACTGCCCAAGAGTGATCCACTCCTTACAACTGCCAACCGCACTGGGGCAAGTCTGTGGGGACCTGCCCAAGGATAAAGCCCAAAGACTGGTCTGTCCCGGAGAAGGTAAAACCAGATTTCTCCGTGGACGCTAGATTTTGAAGCTCCGTCTCACATACTCTGGGCACATGGCCAGGAGGGACTGGTCGCAGGAGAAGGACATCATGCTTGGGAAGGGTGGAGGGACAGCGCAGGAGAGAATGACCCCAAGGAGATGGACTGATTAGTGACTGCGGTGACGGGCGTTGGTGTGTCAGAGACAGTGAGACTGGCTCAGGACAGAGATGCAGTACAGAGGTAAGAGCGCCTTGAAGGCACACGACAAAGCCTGAAGGCAGGAATAGACAGAAGGATTAGTGGAATCAAGAAACAAAGGAAAGAGGGGGGAAGAGCTTGATTACACTGTATTGTAATTAATGTTAGAAAACAAAACATTCCCAAAAGTTGAGTGGAAAACCTCCTTGTTTTGAAAGCAGAAAGCAGCTTGTTCCCAAAGCCGCTGGGCCACAGGAAGCACCAGAGCACACCTCTAAGACCTCAAAAAACAGCCCTTTCTCACCTTCCCCTGTTCATTCAGGACAGTCCCACGAAAGGGTTCGTGTGTGCACACAAATGGGTATCAAAGGGAAACCCTTTCCCACAGGGCACATTACAAGGACGTGTGTGTGTGTGTGTGTGTGTGTGTGTGTGTGTGTGTGTGGTCCGTCCGTGCCCATCCCATCCCCCAGCAATGCTGAGCAGGAAACACTGTGAACGCTTAGCAGCAGACACCCCCAGAACAAAAGCACAGTGCAGACACCTTCTGCAGATCAGGCTTTTACGTCTCTGAAATATAAACACTAACAGGTATTTCCTACATTTTGGCCAAAGGTTAAGGAACTGTGACTGAATTTAAGTGGAGACTTAATGTCTTCAGAGCAAAGGAGTGTGGGGACGTGAATGCTTTGTAATGAACACCATCTGGCCAGAGGCCATGCTGGCCCACAGTGGCCCTTTCTTGGTTGTAAATCTTAATCTGCCGAGAAGGCCCATCTTTCTCCCCGAGTTCCTAGCGGAGTCAAGCCACCAGCCTTTCAAACAGCAGCCTACGGGCCATGCACTACCCCAAGGCTCGTCAGGAGTAACTGCATTTGTTAATGACATAAAGGAAACAACTCAACAGCTGAATGTTCGGAATAAGGTCAATGTCTCTGTATAAGCTTAGCCCCCAAACTCACACGTCCCTCACACTATTGAGTCCCTCACACTAGTGACTGACGGGGCTCAGGGCCAGGCAGAGGCCCTGAGGGGGAAACAGATTCTACAAACTGCTGCTTCTGCAAAAGTGTCTTAATTAATGAAGAGGAACCTCACACACGACTATGTATGTTCCATCCAAAACTCAGAACAGCACGTAGCAGCTACACTGCAGGGCTCGTCCCACCGCCTACCCCCCAACCGGTCCTTGGAGAGGGACATCACGCTTGGGAGGGTGGAGGGCAGGCGCAGGAGGGGAAGGCCCTCTATGAGGTGGATTGATTCAGTGACTGGGGTAATCGGGATGGGAGTGTCAGAGACAGTGCGATTGGCACAGGACAGAGCGGAGTTTAGGACTGTTGTACATCGGGTCGCTATGAGTCGCACGTGACTCGATGGCACATAACACCACCACCACCACCACCCAACACCATCCCCTGCCTCCTTCCTACGCAGTGGGCCCAGCAGTGCGAGCCCTGCAGACATCTGGAGGGGACAGTCAACGAAGCACCGTAGCAGCAAAGCTGAAGACTGGACCTCACATACTTTGAGCACACTGTCAGGAAGGACCAGTCCCTCTTGGAAAGCGTGTGGTCCCTTCACATGTCTGCGCTTCTAGACACACAGGGTGAGAGACCAAGATAAGCCAGTGTGGTGCTGGCCCAAGCACAGCGCTGTGCCCGCCCCAGTCAGCTGTGCCTCGAGTTAGGCCTCACACACACAGCTGTGGACTGAGCTGCGGTCTTCCGGGGCCACAGGGAACTGACCATCAGCGAGTCCTCATAAACCTACTCACTGTGCAGAATTACCCCCACCTCACTGATGGGGACACTGACACTCAAACACTGAAACCAGGCTGCTTGGAAGCTCTGTCTCTCATACTGTGGGCATGTGGCCAGGAGAGGCCAGTCCTTGAAGAAGGAAAACATGCTCAGGGGGACAGAGGGTCAGCTCAGGTGAGGAAGAGCCCGGATATGACGGTGGCAATGGGTCAAGTGTGTCAGAGGCAGCGAGCCTGCTGGCTCAGGGACAGGCAGGCTTCAGAGCCACTGTCTCTATGGTCACTGTGCATCCTGGTTGACTTGACAGCTCGGAACAACATCAGGCAAAAGTGCATCCTCAACACCCTCCCAAGTGTCCCACGAGGACACATGGGAGGCGGGTGAGCTCTCACTGCCCCTTCAGTCAAAAGCCTGGAGACACGGACCCTGAGGCTGATGCAAGACCCCCAGCTCTAACAGGGAGGAGCAACCACCTGTAATACGGGTCTTCGAAACATGGCTTCTGTCTTCTTTGTGTACAGGCTTCTGTCTCTTCCTGAAAGGAGGGAAAAGAGAAAGAAGCCAAATGCAGGACCAGTGCCGGTGCTGGGGTGCGCCCAGGCTCCCACCTGTGAGCGAGCGTGGATCCCCGCGGTTACGTAACCCCAGCACCTCGACTCCCACCCTGCTGCCCAGGACCTTCTGCCCCAAGCACCCACCTGGGCGCTCCCCTAGCACCTGGGCGCTCCCCTAGCACCTGGGCGCTCCCCTAGCACCTCAAAGCTCGCTCCACCGACTTCCCCGTGCCCTGCGATAAAGGCTGGGTAATCCCCCACTGCTGTCTGCAGGATGCATGCGCCCCGAGAGCTGGTGTCTACACACTGGACACGTCCACGCGTTCTAAGCCCCTAAAACATGACACACAGGCGCGCTCGGCAAACCCGTGTCATGGGGCGTAAGTGCGAAGCCAGCAGAGCGCCCCGCCTCCCTGGCTGCGCGGGGCCCCGGGCGGGCCGCAGCCCCGAGCAGCCCCGCAGGGTGTCCGGGCGACACTCCCCGGGCGCCGGCGGGACAAGGACTCCGGGCCCGCGCCCTGCGCGCCGCTCACCTGAGCCCGCGGCCCCGCGAGCACCAGCAGGAGCAGTTCCGGTGCACAGGACTCACGCCGAGCGCCGGAACCGGAAGCGGAAGCGGAGCTGCGGCGTGCGTCGGAGAAACGCAGCCGGCAGCCCGCGAAGACGCGGCCCCCGCGCTCGAGAGTTCCGGGGTTGCTTCCGGGTGCGTGACGCGCTCGGCTGACGCAGTGCCGAGCTAGCCCGGCAGAGGGCGACGTGAGCGGAGACGGCGCTAGCTCCGCCCCCTGGGAAACCCCCAGGTCCTGGCCTTGAACCCGACACCTGAATCCACTGCCATCCGGTCCGTGCGACTCACAGTGACCATATAGGACAGCGCACATCTGCCCATCGGGTTTCCAAGGACGACATCTTGATGGAAGCTACCTCATCTGCCCCTCGTAGAGCCACTGCGAGGCTCAAACCACTTTCGCAGCTGCACCACAACCCCGACACACACCTTTCCTAATTGTAAACCCTGCGCTGTTCCCTTGTCTTGTTCGAACAGGTGTAGGTTTCAGATGCGCACGAACAGGCGTTCTGGGGCTCCCATTCTTCCCAACACTAGCGCTAATGTGTTGTGATCCACACAAATGCCTTTGCATAGTCAACAAAGCACAAATAGATACTCTCTGGCGTTCTCTGCTTTCAGCCAGGATCCTCCTGACATCAGCAGTGATATGCGTCATTTTGGGCATATTGTTAGGTACCATCGAATCAAGTACAACTTAGAGAGGAGACCCTGTGAACGACAGATCTGAACGCTGGCTGATCCTGTGACATCCTCACCATTTCCAACAAGTCTGTCCCGTGTTGCTGTCACCATGTCCCTCCACCTGACTGACATCTCCCTCTCCTTGGCTGACTCTCTACCTTCCCACATGGTGTCCCTCTCCAAGGACTAGTCTCTCCTAGCAACATGCCCTAAGGATGTGGGTCAAAGCTTCACCAACCTTGCTTCCAAGGAGCAGTCTGGCAGCACTTTTTCCTGTTTGGTTTTTTGTACTCGATTTTGGACATTGTTGTTGTTGTCAGTTGCTGTTGAGTTGGGTATAACTCAGAGATACCCTATGGACAGAGGATCTGAACCTGCCCTATCCTGTGCCATCTTCACACTTCCTGACACTGTAGAGCCCATAGTGGCAGTCACCATGTCAACCCACCTGGTCAAGGGTCTTCCTCTCGTTTGCTGACCCTCCACCCTTCCAAGCATCATCTCCTTCTCCAAGAATTAGCCTCTCCTAGCAACATGCTTGAAGTACATGAGGCAAAGCCTCATTATCCTCGTCTCCAAAGAGCACTTCAGCTGGACCCCCTCCAAGACATGTTAGTTTGTTCTTTTGGACGTCCATGGGATGTTCAGTGGTCTTCTCCAACACCACAGCTCAAAAGCATCAGTTCTTCTTCTGTCATCCTTACTCATTGCCCAGATCTAACATGCATAGCAAGTGATCAGAAAGATCATGGCCTGAATCAGACCCACCTTAGTCCTCAAACTGACATCATTGCTCCTCGATAATTTGGAGAGTTCCCTAACTACAGATTTTCCCAGTGCAATGTGTCTCCTTATTTCCTGACTGCTGGTTCCAAAGGTGTTAATTGTGGATCCAAGTAAATGCAGTTGTAGACAGTTTCAATCTCTTTACCCATCAGTAACATGGTAAGAATGTTTTCTTGACATTGAGAAGCAATTCATATTGAAGCCAATATTCTTTGATCCTCTGCAACAAGTATTTCAATACCTTTTCAATTTCAACCAGCAAGGTTGTGTCATCTGTATAACACAGATTATTGATGAGTCTCCCTCCGGTCATGATGCCACCTTCCTCTTCATAGAGACCAGACTTTCAAATTATTTGCTCAGCATATAAATGAAATAGGTATGGAGAAAGAATACAACCCTGACGCACTAGCTTCTTAATTTTAAACCATGCAGTGTTTTCCTGCTCTGCTCACGCAACAGCTTCCTGGTTCACATATAGATTTTACGTGAGCAAGTTAAGTGCTCTGGGACTCTGAATCTTCTCAGTGTCAGCCACAACATGTTATGTTGCACACAGTCAAACACCTTTGCATACTCAATAAAGCATAAAGAGACTTTTTTTTCTGGTACTCTGAGCTTTCAGTCAGGATCTATCCAACATCAGCAATGATGTCCCTAGTGCCATGGGCTCTTCTAAATCCTGCTTGAACTGGCAGTTCCCTATCAATGTCCTGTTATAGCCATTTTTGAATGATCTTCAGCAGTATTGCATGAGAAATTAATGATATTGTTCAATAGTTACCACATTCTGTTGGATCACCTTTCTTTGGAATGGGAACAAATGTGGACCTTTTCCAACCCTTTACCCAGATAACCATCCTCCAAATTTCCTGGCACAAACTGATGAACACATCCAAGGCTGCATCTCTTAGTTGAAATAAGTCAATTGGTATCCCATCAGTTCCTGGGGCCTTGTGTTTTTTGGCCAAGGCCTTCAACATAGCTTTTACTTCCTCCCTTATTACCATTGGCTCCTGCTCACGCATGCCTCTGGAAACTCCATGAACTTTGATAAATGATGATAGTTATACAAAGGCTTCAGGTCTTTGTTCATAGGGTTGCTATGAGTTGTTCTCGACTTGAAGGCAATCAACAACAACCAACAACCTTCTAATATGATACTTCCTGATATTTTTCCGTGTCAGTCAGTTCTTTTCGGTACAGTGATTCTGTGTATTCCCTCCATCTTCTTTTGATGCTTTCTGGGTCATTCAGTATATTCCCATAGCATCTTTCCCTTTATGTGGTGGAAACTCATATTTTTATAAATTTTTTATTTTAATTGTAATTTAAACAAAAGGTTACAGAAAAATTGGATTTTCATCCATTGTTGCACATTTCAATATTGCAACTTGGGGTTTAAATTTGTTTTTCAGTTCTCTCAGCTTGAGAAATGCAAATTAGTTCTGCTTATTTCAAACTTATGTTTAGAAATAGCTGACGTTAAGATGATTTGAATATTACAGATGTTAAAAGTGTTAAAGATATGGCAGCTATGCTGGTTCTAAGAAGATGTTTTCCATAAATCCCTCAACTGCACCAGTATTATTCCAAACTGCACCAGTATTATTCCAAACTGCACTTGTATTATTGTTCCTGACTTTAACTCACTGAACTTTGGACTTAAGTAAGTTGATGATATGAAGTTGTGACTCACTTTTCCTGGTAAGACTCTATTCCTTCTGTAAACTCTTGGCTTCTGTATTTTTAACAGAGCTCACCATCGCAGTGGGAAAGATACCTGCATGCCCGGAGGTGAGGAGCATGCTAGCTGCACGTCTCCTCACCGGCAGGTGTATTTCTGGAAGCTTCCATCCGATATCTATGGAATCCCTGCACAGTAAGAAGAGGTAAGGGCTTGACTACACTGAACAGAGGCTGGCACTGGGAACCCTCCCAGAGGCACTTTTAAGGACAGGCTGGGGGATCAGCTTCTCAAAATCACATTGTTGAAAACTCCATTCTACTCCATACGTGAGGTCGCCGTAAGTCCGAGGTGACTCACTGCTGACTAACAACATCCCATTTCTCTTCCACCTTTACTGTGTTTAGCACCCGAAACCCCCTGTGCTGCCCTGCCTTTAGCATCCCACGCAGGACTAGTGCCCCTCAGCCCTTCCTTTGGGCTACTGTACTGCCGGTGCCTCCAATGAGATCTTGTTCAAAAACACAGTTTACTTACATGGGATACTCTACAACATGATAAACCATGAAGTGTGATGCGAAGTGAAAGACATCAGACATGAAAGGACAAATCATCGTCTGATCTCACCCACAGGGGCTGTCGAGAGTAGATAACTGCTGGTGAGGTGCTGTGGGGTGGGCTCTGAGCCCTGGCTGACCGCCCCAGCCTCGCGGGCTGTGATGTCAGAGCCCGGTGTACCAGCGCCGTGCCCGCATCTCCTTGAGGGCGTGGGTTTGCTGGGTATGTTCTTCTCCAAGGACGGGTCCCTTCTGCGAGCATGCCCCAGGTGTGAAGACAAGGTCTCACCACCCTTGCCTCGCAGGACCGCGTGGCTGCACTTCCTGAAGCCTGGACTTGTTCCGTCAGCTGTCAGTCCACCTAGAGCCAGTGTTCACCACCAGCACCGACGTCCGGGGGCCTTGATCTGGTCTTTATTCATAGCCAAGTTCCACGAACACATGAAGCAATTGAAGATTCTGTGCCTTGGTCAGGCCCACGTTGGTCAGCACAGGGACACCGAGGGAGCAGTTCAGCGACAGGTGTCTGTTGGTGCTGCCCACGGAGGGATGGGAGACGGGGGAAGTGGAGTCTCGTGGAGAGATATTGAGTTTCTCTTCGAAGTGAATCCTGGAGCTTTTAGAAGTGATGATGGTTGTCCTGTATTATAATTAGCGGCAG